TGGTTTCATACCTTATTTATTTTCCCTTATATTGCATGAAACCAGTGACTTGCTTAATAATGTGGAACAACATCCTTAAGTAGTTTCCCATTTATTAGGCTCACCTGGAAAACTAATAAAGACAAACCTGTCTGAGATTGACGTCAGTGATCTAAACAGACATGGGAAGCAGCACAATTGAAAACTTTCATTGAAAAACAAAAAATCTAATGTTTTTTTAATTGAAATCATATTTGCATAATAATTTGGAACACAGTGTATATGATCAATGGGGGGATGTATTATAGCCAGAGGATGTTTGGGAGTGAGTGAAGACATTGTTGGTCAGCCAGACATTTCACTGTCTTACACACTGTTTGTTGGTATACACCCTGGCACTCTTAAGTGTCTGAGCTTCTGTCTGTCTGATTTCCAGCTCTTCCCACTGCATGTCCAAGTTTCCTTGAGGATGATAAGGAACCCCAAATTTCTCACAATGCCGTGCATCGTGTATGAATGAGTATTGGTTTCTGTTTGAGCTGTCATCACTGACTGAATGAATGTATGTGAATGGGTGATGGCATGTAGTATAAAGCATTTTGAGTAGTCGGAGGACTAGAAAGACGCTACACAAGTACATTCCATTTACCATTTATTGCAGTCTGAACACACAAACACACACACAGTTTCATATGCTCACACTCTGATTTATTCTTCACCCTCATACACAAATGCCAGCTGGCCGTTCTTCCTGCCTGATCATGAGTGTGATTAACTTTCCCCAAGAGTGCGCAATGTTCATTTAGCTGCAGCGCATCATTAATGTCTGTGTAGAAACAGGTCTGAGGGGAAAAGTCTTCATCAAATGCTGTTGCCACGATGACTCATTATTTGCCATGAAACCGGAAATTGTTGCAACTACAGTGTACATCAGCCCTAAATTTCCTGGGGTGATCACAGCACCCGCTGTTGTGAGCTGGATGGATCATCTCGAAGTCCACTGCTTTTTAATTTGTGTTATATTTCTCTTATAGGTGTTAGTCTGTGGAGATTAAAAACTGAATGTATTTGCCAGTAAGCACCATCATATGAACAATCTAGATCCAATTTCCATTTGTGTTTTGTAAGAGGTTTTTCAAATTCATACAATTATTGTTGAGGATACTCTAAATAGCTGACGTTAGACCTCTGGTCTGCAAGTAAAGTACTGAGTAACTCTTTCTCTTGTGGGGTCTCCTCCGGTATGCCAGGATATCTATTAGGTGACTTTTGATCCATTGTCTGATTTGGAAATACTTAAACAGTTTATGTAGAGGCATGTTGTATTTACGGGACGGTTACTGAAAACTAAAGAATACACCTTTTGTATTAGATCCTTAACTATGTTAATTCTGTTATTAACCCAACCTTTGAGTGCCTGCTTTGGAATTTGGGATAACTAGGTTGTTCCATAGTGGAGTTTTTTTAAATATTAACCTTTTAAATTCAATATGAAGTGAAATGGGCCTTGTAAGGTTGGTCGAGTGGGGAAGGCAGGAAGGAAGGGACCTTCAAACTGTTCAGTCAGTCCAAATTTCTTTATTTCCCTTTTTTTTCCAGCATGGATCAATACATCATATTTACAGTGAGCATCAGCTTGGCCCAAATCGAAGAAAACAACAAACTTAATAAAAAATAAAGCTGCAAGCAGCGTTGGGCGGGACCTCGCACTCCACGCAACTCGGGGCATACTGCGGCCGCATCGCGTGCCGTCGTAACACTTGCGGACCACAACATGAAAATATGCCATTAATCAGCTCAAAATCGCCACGCAGTGCTTACTTCCTGTTGCCAGTAGGTGGCGCTATCACTATGTCTGAATATTGTCATGTACACGTGTTCAGGGCAGGACTGTTATCAAGCATTTGAAGTGTGGAGCCGATTGGACAATGTATACTCAAGTTACAGTGGGTACGGAAAGTATTCAGACCCCTTTAAATTTTTCAATCTTTGTTTCATTGCAGCCATTTGCTAAAATCAAAAAAGTTCATTTTATTTCTCATTAATGAACACTCAGCACCCCATCTTGACAGAAAAAAACAGAAATGTAGAAATTTTTGCAAATTTATTAAAAAAGAAAAACTGAAATATCACATGGTCATAAGTATTCAGACCCTTTGCTCAGTATTGAGTAGAAGCACCCTTTTGATCTACTACAGCCATAAGTCTTCTTGGGAATGATGCAACAAGTTTTTCACACCTGGATTTGGGGATCCTCTGCCATTCTTCCTTGCAGATCCTCTCCAGTTCTGTCAGGTTGGATGGTGAACGTTGGTGGACAGCCATTTTCAGATCTCTCCAGAGATGCTCAATTGGGTTTAGGTCAGGGCTCTGGCTGGGCCAGTCAAGAATGGTCACAGAGTTGTTCCGAAGCCACTCCTTTATTTATTATAGGCGGAAGTGGGCGTGGCCTATATGGGGAGATTCAGCTCCATTCACCGAGTTTTTTTGAATGTGCAACAAAGTATGCAGAAGTTATTGGCCTAAATGTATTTTTTATGATAGTAGCGCCACCTAGTGGCCAACCCGAAAGCAACGCATAGAATATCCCCATTTTCACCAGGCCTGATAACTTTGCCAAATAAAATTTAGTTTTCGTATATGTTCAGGGGGGCAAAAATGCAGTCAAAGGGGGCTAAAAATAATTAAAGCTGCAAGCAGCGTTGAGCAGGACCTCGCACTCCACGCAACTCGGGGCGTGCTGCGGCCGCCTTGCGTGCCGTCGTTACACGTGCGGACCAAAACATGAAATTTCACGTAAATCAGCTCAAAACTGCCACGCAGCGCTTACTTCCTGTTGCCGGTAGGTGGCGCTATCACTATGTCTTAATATTGTCATGTAGAAAAGTTCAGGGTGGGACTGTTATAACACATGTGAAGTTTCATTGAGATTGGACCACGTACGCAGAAGTTATGAGGACGTGTTCAGGGCAAAACTGTTTCAGAATATATGAAGGTTATTGGAGATTGGACATTGCACACTGAAGTTATGAACACTATTTTATGGCAAATCTGCTGAAATGGACAAGTTGTCACTGGCACGCGGTTTAATGTACAGTCACAGCTCAACTTTTCTATCAGTTTGTATGACGACAGAATTCAAAGTGGCCAACTTTGACCTCACGCCACAGACACGCCGTTCAACGTACAGTCTCAAATAGCACGGACATGCCCTTTAATGTACATGCACAAATTTTCACAAACTTTTAATCAGCACCATTTTTTGACTGTACTGACCAATTTTGAAGCAGATCCAATAAATTCCCTAGGAGGAGTTCGTTCAAATACAACGCGAAAAAATCACCGAAAATGCGCACGGAATTCACTATGGCCAACTTTGAGGGCACGCCACGGACACGCCCTTCAACGTACATGCACAAATAGCACAACGTTTAAACTATACCCCCGGGAGAAACTTTAACTCCTGCTTACATACATATTGTTACTCCTCCTACCCCAGGAAGTAAAAATTAAGGAACCGATTAACTTATTAAACTCATTACACATATTAAAGGAGTAACTAGATCCCAAACATCTCCTAAACTTCCTCCTCACCAATACAACACTTAGCACATCCCACAAGGAACCTGACCATAAAAGGAGTTCACATTGGTGAGGACTGGTTTGGAAGTTCCTGGGTCCAATTCAGAAGATGGCCAGGTGTAATCTAGGGGAGAGGTGAGAAACACAAAATTAATCACATAAAAATGTTCAAACCCAATTTTTCAGGCTTTCCTTCAAGATCTCATGTATTTCAATGCACACATAATATAATTATCATTAACATGTAACATCTATACTAATTACCAAACTTGATATATCTGCTGGCTAGATGGTATGTAAAAGTGACTGAGGTGGACAAGCACTCTATGTTGTGTCTTATTTAAGTTAAAGGTTATGGGGCATCCCTGTGACAGGCCTCCTGCAATGAAACAAAAGTGGTTTGTTTTATTGGGTTCTTGGTAATTGTACTTAGTTTGTTTTTATTATCCAAAGAGGGGACTCCTTTTTTCGATTTTTGTTTTTCTTTTGATATTCATCTGCTTTCATTGTCTTCTGAATGGGTCTGAACTGTGATGCCGGATAATGTTTTCGGAAACTGGGGAGAAAACATAGTAAGTTTGATTCTTGAAGGTTTCTTTTGCAACAAAAAGCATGTCACTGCCTGTCTTAAATTATTTTACAGAGACTTAAAATGTAGTGTATCATACACCGATCAGTCATAACATTATGACCACCTGACATCTATCAGAACCAGCAATTTGAGCTACAGTAGCTCGTCTGTTGGATCGGACCACACAGGCTAGCTTTTACTCCCCACGTGCATCAGTGCGCCTCGGCCACCCGTGACCCTGTGCCCGGTTCACCACTTTTCTTTCTTTGGACCACTTTTGATGGGTACTGTACTCTGCAGAACAGGAACACCCCACAAGAGCTACAGTTTTGGAGACGCTCTGACCCAGCCGTCTAGCCATCACAATTTGGCCCTTGTCAAAGTCGCTCAAATCCTGATGTTGCCCATTTTTCCTAACACATCAACTTTGAGGACCAAATGTTCAGTTGCTTTGCTAATATATCCCACCCATGACGGCTGTATGATAGCTGCTTTCAGAACAGTTTAAACTTATTAAGCTCCAACATTTTATAAGCAACTGGAGCTTAATGCAGGAACTGAATGCATATACCACTTCAGTTTCAGCGCTGCCCCCACCCCCCTCTCTTCAGTCTTTTGAAGTTCTCCCCCTCTCTCTCCCCTCATGCAAGCGTTGTTTAAATACAGAGGAGCATGTCTCTGAGGTCCCACGCTGTCGTTACTCGGCTCTTTTGAGCTGCTCCTTAATTGCATAACACACATACACCAGCTGGGTGAGGAATTCACAAGGCTAACTTCAAAGCCCGCTCTTGATATATTACTCCATAGTTTTGCTTTTCTCCCCTCTGCGCTGTCTCCCCCGTCATTCGTCTTTTCTCTGTGTGTTTAGAGTACGAGGAGGAATGGAGTGGCTGGGCTCCCTGCAGTGTCACCTGTGGACATGGCACTCAGAAACGCACCCGTTCCTGTGGATACGCATGCACTGCAACTGAGTCACGCACATGTGACCTGGAGAGCTGTGCTGGTAAGAAGCAGAAACTCTGTGATGTGGCAAGATTGTAAAAATATAACTTTTGCACCCATTTTTTCTTTTTTCATTTTAAAAGAGGAAGAGAAGCATGCCAGAGCAGTTTCAGTGCTGTCCATGCCAAATATGAATTCTGTTTAGAAAGACACCCTGAAGACTGTCAGAAGAATACAAAAGATTAAAGACTTTGGAGAACATAACATACAACAGTTACAAATATACAACCACCTTCCTCAGTGTAGGCTAATAATAATAATAATAATAATAATAATAATAATAATAATAATAATAGACAATAAATGCTGTGCACATGTGCACAACAGCTTTGTTTGTTTTCTTGTTTTATTTTATGTATTTAGGATTCACATGTGCACTGCCCAACTTTTGCAAATCATATTATGTGGGCATAAGAGAAGGAGCCTGAAAATAAGAGTTTCATTGCAAATGACTGCCTCCAATGTGATTTTGCAAATGACAGAACCTGCTGTACAATCAACAGCAGAATAAAAAGTCCATATTGTAATTAATGCATTCACATTGCTGTGAGGGTCCAAAACTAAATTTTGTTATCTTACACAAAGGTCTGTACATGTAGACTGTTTGAACAGGTCTTTGAATGTAGACATTTGGTTTTATCAGAAACGCATCCACTTTGTGAATTGGCATCTGTTTTCATCTATGTCCAGCCCTAGCATCACCAAGGCATAACACTCATAGATTTACAAGCAATATAAAGACCACAGTGGCTAAAGCCCACAAACACATGTTAAAGCAAGAAAAGAGAACCTGCACCATTTGTGCACACCATGGGCGGCTGTGGCTCAGAGGCAGAGCAGGTCGTTCCTCAATCGGATACGAGGTTAAGGTTGTGGGTTCGATCCCCGGCTCCTGGTACCACAAGTCGAAGTATCCTTGAGCAAGATACTGAACCCCAAATTGCTCCCGATGCCGTGCATTGGTGTGTGAGTGTGTATGAATGAGTTAGTTTCTGTTCAGTAGGCTTTGCCATCACTGAGTGAATGTGTGTGAAAGGGTGAATGTGGCACGTAGTGTAAAAGCGCTTTGAGTGGTCGGAAGACTAGAAAGGCGCTATACAAGTACAGGTCCATTTACCATATACCATATAGTGCACCTACACAAGGTTGTTATGTAAAGCAGCAAGTGTTTAGATTTGCTTCTGGAAAGTGACCGGAAGATCGTCTGTTCAGTCCCCCCAACCAGCTGGATACTTGCTGGATCTAGGTGGGGAAAGTGGAAGCCACTTTGGTGCTCTTGAGCTAGACCTTTAACCCCTTTAACTGCTCAGTGGCCAGCGGATAAGACTGTGGTTGTACTGGGAAGCTTCCAGGTGTGAATATGGTGTTCCTGAAAAAGAATGCATTGCTCTCGCTGAAACCCTGAAGGTAGAAATCACTATCACTATGATACACAATAAGCATTTCTGCCAATGCGCAGTATGCACCTGTTGTGCAACACTATGGGTGTCTTTAATTTGGTCACTTGTGCTGCTCACCATAATGTATGGTGCATTAAGCCGTGCTGCCACTGCATTGTACGGCGCGACTCAACTCTACTAATTTTCGGTACCAGCTTGTTTTCTCTACTTTGTCGTTTATAAAAATCTAGGTTAAGTGGATTAAAACATGCTGTTCTAGTGATGATTCCCTCTGACAAATTAGTGGTTTTGAGGGTTTTCGTGTCACATTTTAGTATCAGCTCACTTGGAACCTCTTATTGAATGTCGTCTGTGGAATGTGCATAGGTGTATATTTAACCTACTTTATTCTGTCAATGCTATAATTATGTTTTTGACACCAACAGGGCATGAAGCATTTAAAGTCCACATTAAATAAAGGTTTACTTGTGCAGATTTACTTGTTTGCTGTTCATGTTTTTCAAGAGATAATCAAATCACTCATTTCTTTCTTCCTCTGTCATGTAGACACTGCTATGTCAGTGACTGAGCTGTCACCCATCCAAACGACCACCAGCACAAACTCCCTAGACATAAGTAAGTATCGAGTGTGTGGGTATATTGTGTATATTATGTGTGTGTGTGTGTATATATATATATATATATATATATAACAGGTTGCACTCCATGTTTTCGGCGGATGCGCCTGTTTATGAATCATTCCATCCAATCATTCCAATCAGTTGTGGGTTACAGACTCAATCAATTACATTGTGAGTGCCTGATTTTGATATCTAGAAATCTCCCTCAGTGGTAAGTAAGGCTCTTCAATTTAGGCCTTTCCTTGTCTTTTCAGTTTCAGAGTGACCATTCCTTCAATGCAGAATGAGGACAGGAAAAACATTTTCAAGCCTATTTAGCTTGCTCTCTCTTCTACTCTATAATAAATAGGCCTGCTTCTTAAATTCTGGTGTCCATTTGGCATATTTAATCCACTCCCAGACCACAGTGCACAACCTCAGTATTTCAATACTTTCCATTCTCTGAACAAGAAATGTGTTTATTGGTTTGGTAATCATTTCCTTTTCTTACTCATCGAGCTGCTGAAAGTAATTCTTGCACTTCTTGTTCGTGTTTCCACAGTTTTCACCTTGTACCTTTTCAAACTAAAATGCTGTATGTTGCATGAAAAGGATCCTTTTATCAATACTGTACTATAAGATCAACCAACCAATACTGGGAACTAACTTGAGAATATTAAAGACTTTCTGTGATAGATTCTATATTTTTCTGCCCCCCCCCCATCCAACCCCAAACCCATCCCAAATCAAACCCCAAACCCAGATGTAGACAGCTGTGAGAAGTGGCTGAGCTGTAAGAATGACTTCCTCCAGAAATACCTGCACCAAGTGCTCACAGAGCTCCCTAGCTGCCCCTGCTCCTACCCCTCTGAGGCTGTTTACAGAGCTGTCAATATCCAGGATGCCAAACTTCGCAAGACCTACCGCTGGAGGGATGCTAGCGGACCCAAAGAACGGTTGGACATCTACAAACCTTCAGCCAGATTCTGTGTCCGCTCAATGCTGTCATATGATAGCACAACATTGGCAGCGCAGCACTGCTGCTACAATGATCAGATGAGACTGATAACGCGAGGTAAAGGAGCAGGAGTGCCAAATTTGATCAGTACAGAGTTCTCACCAGAGCTGCATTACAAAGTGGATGTACTTCCTTGGATCCTGTGCAAGGGGGACTGGAGTCGCTTTCACTCAGCAAGGCCGCCCAATAATGGTTTAGACTGTGCAGATAACCCCCCTGAACAAGTGTTTCAGATGGAACTTAAAGAGGCCAGGGAGTACTGACTCTGTGGCGTTGTAGTATTGAACAAGAGAGGAGGACAATGGGAGACATAAAGTACTTGGTAGTTGGTAGTTCAAAATCACAATGTTTCTGTCATGCATCAACTCCACCCAGCTAAAGTACTTTGGTGATGTTGAAAGCTTTGTTGTTGCAATCTTATGGTATTTGCACAGTTACTTTGGTTTAAAAGGGGGACATAACTTAAGAAATATAAATGGAAGACATGGACAACTAATAGTGGTGACAGTGTTTTATACTCATATGTAGTATAAACAAAACTGTATAAACATATCTATAGCAGCAAAACTGAAATAACACTGGTGTTGGAACAGTGAAAATCAGTGCTGAAGTGTTGCAAAGTATGTTTTACTAAGACCCTTGTTAGTTAATCCCTCTTCCTGTATATTGCTGCTACTCTGCTGGGATGTGCTGAGCTAAGGTGAATATCTCTGATGGCAGTGGCATGTGTGTAGTGTGGAGATTTGTCTCAATATAATTAGTTTGAATCAGTTTGTAAATTGGTTAATATGAAACACCTTCCACAAATACAAAAAATATTGACGTAAACTCTCAAATAAAAATATCTGCAAATACATTCAATTCATTTACAAATAAATTAAAAACATTTGTGACAATGTTCAAAACAATTACAGCTTCAAAACATTTGTGAATCCAGTTTTTATTTGAGAATGGAAAATGCATTTGTGGATCTCAAGCATTTTATACATACCTAGTTTTAAGATATATAGATAGATCTGGCGAAAAGTATAGATTCTGATCCACTTGTATCAATCTGCCATGAGCACATAATCACCTGCTGAAGACCTCATCTCTGCATTTCAAATTTTGGGCAACTTTCACATTCCTGAAGTGGTGAGCTTGCACTTACTACTAAGTCGCCCTGCACTGAAAATGTGTGCTAAAACAAACACACACACACACACACACTCTCTCTCTCTCTCTCTCTCTCTCTCTCTCTCTCTCTCTCTATTGTTAACAGAATAAAATGATGCACACACTGTAAAAAAAGGATATGAGGTTTTAGTTACCTCAGCTCATTTCCTTTAGTCTGTTCAACTAAAAAGTGCAGATGCAACCCCACACAGCCAACTAGGGCTATACACCTCCATGTGCCACAATAAACTTCCTTTTCGGATCAGGAGGAGGAGGATCAAGGTAAGAACACACTTTTAGCCTGCTTGTATTTATCAAAATGCTTGTTTAATGCTTGGTTAAGTATTGTTAGATAGATAGATGAATTAGATAAATGTTACACTGGAATTTTCTAATTAAACCTGGCAGCAGCAGTTTTTAGTAACATAAGATTTTTTACAGTGAATTTTAGAATTTGAGTAATTTTTAGTTGCTGTAAGTTAGTAACATGAACAGTAGTAGTAACAGTAGCTCAACAATGGATTTAAATTTGTGCACCATATTTGAGTGTGTTACGGAAGCCGTAAGCAGTCATGCATTCATACATTTTATTTCCTCTGTTTTCTCATGATAACAAGTTAATTTGACTTTGTTTTCCTAAAATAACAAGATAATTAATTTGAGATCTCGAGATAACAAATCAGATATAATAGGCCTGAGAGTGTGGAGTGAATGTGTGTGTATGGCGAAGCAACAGAGCAGGTTAGCAGTAGGAGTTCGGTTAGAAAGAAATGTACAGTATGTTGCAATACACACTTAAATAAAAGGCTACAGCGTTTCAAAGTCTGGCAGCCAAGCAGCAAAGTTTAACACGAGAAAAGCAAAGTCATATTATGCCAAGATCGCTGGACAATTATCCCGTTATCTTGAGAAAACAAATTAAATTAACTCCTAATCACAAGAAAACGGACGAAATAAAATGTATGAATGCATGACTTCTTAGAGCTTCCGTATTGTGTGATTTTAAGAACAGAAAATGATTTTTTGCAAGTAGCTAAATAAGTCATGAGCCATGTTATAGCTAGACAGTGCACATCATTTTTTTTCAGCCTGGTATGGTTGAATGAGTTTACAGTACAAAATGTATGTCCAATTCCTAATCATTAAGCTTATTCAGTTGTCCAGTATCAGTGCTAAAGACAAGTGAGATACACTAGCAAGATGACGTCTCACTCTTTTTGATTTCATCCCAAATCCTGCTACATAAACCAGAGAAAAGTGTGTGAAACTGAAATATTATTTTAAATATTTTTTAAACTACACTGTTAACCCGAAAGTTCATTCTACGCAAACAGTTTGAGTGAATACCACTTTTAAAGATTAGTTTTATTGCGTTACTTAAACAGTATGAGTATTTGAACAGTGTATGAGACAGTCATTGGGTGTAGTCATTTTTGTAAGTTCAACAAACTTAAACTCAAGTTTTACCTCAGGCCACAGTGCTGCCCTGTTGTGATTGGCTCAAAACTCAAGACAAGTCTGTGTTTGTCTGTTGGCGGCTACAGAGAAAGTTGCGCCAAAGTTTTCTAATTTACACAGAGCAATTTAAGGTCTTTGCACTTTGCATGCTCCTTGGACAAGGAAGGAGTTTGGACGCTTTTAAAGGACAATTGCCTGCCGTAAAGAGGATACCATTTCTGCCTGAATGAGGTGAGTTGTTTTCTCTATTCAAGTATTAGAAACTGCTGGAACATTTCTAGTTTGAAACGTTTTGCAACAGTAGTGTAAAATTCAAATTATTCGATGTAGTTTTGAAAAAGTTTCAATGCCCAATTTTAACATTAGCCTCATTTGCCCTACTATTTTTGAGCACAGCTTTTTAAACATAATAGGCTAAAACATGAGCCCTTTCCTTGCTTGCATCAGGAATGTATGTGTACATTCAAGTCTCTCAATGCACTCAGACACCTATACATGAACACACAAAAAATGCCTCTATAATAGCTTGTTTACACAACATTGTCTAAAATAAAACCACTGTGAATTATGAAAATCATAATATTTATGAAGACCACACAGCTGATTGTAGACAAATTACTGTTAACCTGAATATCCTCCTTTTGTCTTGTTTCTCGCACTATAGAATCTTAATGAGGGAGACTCTGTGGACATTCCCATGGGAATCCTCTGCTATGAGGACACCAGCGCTGCAAGCCCAACATCGCCACAACTAAACCCCTCAAGAGTGGGGATCATCCTAGAGCCTTGTAATGGAAGCACTCACCAACCTACCTCCAGGCAATGTGCCTCTTGTTTGGCTTTACCTACGCACTCCACCTGCAGTACCCGAAGTGCTTAAAAAACACATTTGCCTTCATTCAGCAGGTAATGCTAAATTTGGGTCAAAGTGAGCTACCTCCCAAGGTTTAAAAGCTGAAGAATGATCTTGCAGTGTAAGCGGATTTATGCTCATGACACAATTCTTCATGTCCATGTCTGGATTGTTGCACAAATACATTGCACTGACTGGAGCTAATATTCTTGCAGTTGCTCATTTTGTATGTGATTCTTCTTGTACAAGATGTGTCTAGTGTTGCTTGTTTTACTGAAATTATTCTACAGAGGACACAGGCGGCTGTGGCTCAGAGGCAGAGCGGGTCGTTCCTTAATCGGAAGGTTGTGGGTTCGATCCCCAGCTCCTGGTGCCACATGTCGAAATATCCTTGAGCAAGATACTGAACCCCGAATTGCTCCCGATGCCGTGCATCGGTGTGTGAATGTGTATGACTGTTAGTTTCTGTTCGATGGACTTTGCCATCATTCCATGGAATGGCGCCGGCGACAACGGCAGCCTGTCATGGCAGCTCCTTTCATTGTTGTAGTTTTAGTGTGTTTTTGCTATTTTGAACTCTTTTCTTACTTTCTTACTTTCTTACTACTTTGTTCATGTCGCCTAAATACTTTTTTGGCGTTTTTGAGCACTTTTTATTTTTTGTTTACGCTGGTCTCCATGGCAACGGGGAGTCGCATTGTTTTCACCCGCGACCAGATGATCGCCCTGAGGCCCCCTAGCATCCTGACTGGAGAGAGACCCTCCATACCGGAGGAGCTGAGGAGGAGACGGTGAGGCTGCAGAGCGGGGGTTAACCGGCTTCCAGACGGTTCGAGCCGACAGGGACACCACCGCGACCGGCATGAAGAAAGGAGGGGGACTGTCCGTGCTCATAAACAACAGGTGGTGTAACGCCGGGCACGACTGTGTGAAAGAGCGTCTGCAGCCCGGACATCGAGCTCATCGCCATCGGACTTTGTCCGTGTTATCTGCCACGGGAACTTTCCAGTGTTATCACCATCACTGTCTATATTCCTCACAGTGGTCTTCATCATCATCACCATCACTGTTTACATTTATGATGTCTTATTTATTCTCCTGTACAGCACTTTGGTCAACTTTGGTTGTTTTTAAAGTGCTTAACAAATAAAGTTGGATTGGATTGGATTGGATTGGATTGGATCACTGAGTGAATGTGTGTGAAAGGGTGAATGTGGCACGTAGTGTAAAAGCGCTTTGAGTGGTCGGAAGACTAGAAAGGCGCTATACAAGTACAGGTCCATCCATTTACATTTCAGAGTTTTTTTTTTTGTTTTTTTTTACCAACTCTGGTCCTCACTGCATAGTTGTTCTTAATGCTACTGTTCTTAATACCTGCTTTGTTGTGTGGCAAACAAAGCGTACAGTTTTTCCTTTTGCACTTGTAGTGCCTGCTGCTACATGATAAGTGTTGTTGTTTTTTTCATACTTGAAAATTGTTCACAGAGCAAAATATTAAAAAACTATGCTGTGATTGTATTTGGAAGGAAATCGTGTGTGCGTGTGTGTGTGTGTGTGTGTGTGTGTGTGATGGTGTGTAAATTAACTTGATCAACGTGCACCAGAGTTAACAATAGAGCTACAGTGAGAGAGAAATAGTCAAACTGCAGGGATTCATTAGTTTAGTATTATTCTGTAACTTTGATTAGCACCGAGCAGCTGGGGTTGCTCACTAGGTTGTTTTGTGGAGTCAAACTGCGACGAATAAAAGTTTTCTGATGCATTTATTTAGCGTTACTGAAGTACTGCTATTACTGACGATATAAGTGTAGGTCCAGTGTAACATCCTATACTCATAATCTCCTATTGTATTATAAACACTGAGGCTCACTGCTAAATGTCTGTTATTGCACCGGGAACTTGTCACAACATCAGTTACAGTCAGTAAATGTCCTGTGTGTGTATCTGCTGCCATTAGATAGACATTGTGTTGGTAACCTCAGACTGTTTCAACAACACATCACTACAGTTAGCTGCAACAAGGGACCCACCAGAGACACTGCTTTATTATTTTATTTTATAACATAGGACTACTGTGAGCCACAATGAGCTGTTGTACTTGTATTATATTATACTGTATTATATTACACTGTATATTATATGCTGCCTTACTAGTAACACTGAATCTTCCATGTCTTACAGGTGACCTGATGAAGCTCAGGAGTTCCTGGACCCATCAGAGGACAGAGACAGCTGCAGCATCAGGACAGTCTGGGTATCCAAAGGAAGACTCATGAAGATGAACACTGACTGCAGAGCTCCATTACCAGCTCACACTTCAGTATACTAGAAACCATAAACCTTGATGGAGAACATGATCTGCACAGTTTACAAAAAAGTTATAGCTTTGTTACTTACAACATGTGTAACTGGAATATGAATGAAATATAAATAAAGTGTTTTACTTTTAAGAAGACTTTTGGTCATTTTTAAATTCAGTAATAAGTGTGGTTTTATATAAATAACAGATAATAATTTCACAGAGGTTTTATGAAGATTTTGAAAGAGTTGAAAATCTGGTCATCTATCAATATGAAAATGTGAAATTTAAACCTGTATTAATGACTGTAAGCAACACAATACATTACTGTCTCATATTCAAACTTTATTATGTTGGAAGATAAATTACATCACAATATATAATATAAGTGATAGAATATTCAGTATACAGTATTTTTAATGGGGTTCAAACATAATTGCAGCTTTTACAAATATCTGAAGGATAACTTTGGTAATAATACTTAGTTAAAATTTCAGACTATGAAATATGGATACAGTACCGTTAACAGTTGGTTACTTAGCAGTTTTTCAACCCCATAAACAATTTACTTTATTAGATGAGTGATTCCTTCAGTTATGTTGACATGTTGTACAGGATCAAGTATTCCAGGTTTCTGTTTCCATGGTCTCAGTAAACTAATGTGTATAAAGAATATAACAGATGGGAGGTTACAGTAATCATTATACTATTACTCTGATTACTTTGGTACATTTACTGGGTGTTTCTTCACTAAAAACAACTGCTTGACTAATGTTAATATTATGTAATATATAATATGTTTAACTTCACTGGGCTGTGTAGACTGTAGGTCACTGCTCACTGCTGTACCTGTAAAGACAAGCATAAAACACAGTGTTGGTTCTCATAGTTAAGGTATAAACACTAACATTATGTGATAGATAGAGGTTACTATATATATATATATATATATATATATATATATATATTAGTTATATGTATGTGTAGTTAATATAGCAGTATTTACCTGAGGAAAACGTCACAGAAAGCTGTAATCCTGATTGTTGATGTTGTTCATTTCTCCGTGATTTCAGGTCAGACTCCCGCTCAAACATGTCCGCTGGTGAAGTTTTTGCTTTAGAAGCAGTTATTGAATTAATATTGACGGTAGAAATGCAGCTAAACTCAGTAGCAGTGAGGAGCTACCTGTCGGCAACGAAGGGGAGGGGCCGGAGCGTCATCCGCGTGAGCCGCGTCATCCGCGTGAGCCGCGTCATAATGCCGACCAATCAGAGCAGACTGGGCTTTTCAGGAGGGGGGTCTTAAAGAGACAGGCGCTAAAACCGAGCGATTCAGACAGAGGTTGAAAAGAGGTGCTCAGCTATAGGCAGTGTGAGAAAAATAATGTGTTTTTTGAATTGTAGGAGAGCCACAAAATACAATTATGAACCTGAAAAAGGGGCATAATATGACTCCTTTAAGTACAATCAACTTATCCGGGTTTACAGTGTAATCAGGATTTGCTAGATTTGAGTTTTGGCCTGTGAGAACCAAAGCTTACCTCTTTGCTCTCAATGTATTTTATGTTATCAGGAAACCACTGATATGACTAATAATTGTTTTTGTCCTTACAGATCAGCGCAGAGTTTATGCGACTGGTTTCAACTGAACTCCACGGGTCTTTCTTTGATGGACTGGACAAATATGTCCCGAGTCTGCTCGAAATGTACAGATCGAAGTAGCACCAGTGCAGACCTGTATACTCTGCTTCAGCCCCTTGACATACAAGTAAGGACAGTAAAGATTTTTACTACATTGTGTTATGACATATGAGGCTTTATAATGCTACATTGTCATGTAAACAGTTAAACATCTTAAAGTGTCAGTTTGACATAGCAGCCATGTCCCATTTAGCATGTTCCAGATTGTAAATCTGTTCTAAACCACAGTTTAATTTGTCGCTAGGTGACACAGCAGCAACCCCAGTGTTGTCAGAATTGACATGGGCATGCTTGATTACAATTTTTCTTCTTTTGTTGTTGTTGTGTTATGAGACTTCAAATCAGAAGAGAAGAGCAGTTGCTTTGCTTGGACTTCCATACTACCTGAAGGAGGATCCTTCAAGTTTCGTCTTTGTCTGCAAGGTGTGTGAATTAATTTCATTTGCATGGGACACTCTAATTATGGTGGAAAACAACAACAAACATTGATATTTACACATGTTAAAGGTGTATCAGATTTGGGGGACTCTATTTACAGAATATGGCAGAAATTAATTATTATATTCATAACTATGTTTTCATTTGTGTATAATCACCTGAAAATGGCTTAAAGTGAGCCTTTTATGTCTGCAAAATAAAAAATCACAGACCTGAGACTCCATGTTTTTTTCTGTTAAAATTATCTTGACTAAATACATCATACAAATAAATGTATACATTTATACACATTTACCAAATTGAAATAGTGAATTGGTAAATTGATGGTATATGCTTGATTTCTGACTTATCTTTATTATGTGCTTTAGCCTGGCAGTTCAGAAGAGGAGGTCACAAAAGGAGTGGGCTTCTGATTCTGCATTGCCTGATGGTAGTAATACCAAAAAGGCCACCCAGTTTTGAAATTCAATAAAATGGCATTCTGAATAGTCTTTGATGTTGAAGAATAGTTTTTATGTCGTACTATAGATTTAAGTTGTTTGGGAAAAAGATGCAGTTAAATTTTTATTGAATGAACTTAACATTGCTACTTAGATTAACTGTTCTTGGAAAAAGTAACCTGGCTGCCTTAAAAAAACAACATGCTTAGTTTGAACAACTTTTTTTGTTAGGTTTGTACAACTCAAGATATCATTTCAAGTTTGTTGGTTTTACTGGTCATTTTATGTTGTCTAAACTAGGATTTAGGTTTGTAAAACTTGAAACATCTTGTTGGTATCACAAAAACTTAAAACAAACTTAAAATCTAAAGTTGATGGGACTAATTTGACAGCTTCACCTTTGTCACCCCAACTATTTATTCTAAGTTTAAGAAACTCTGATATATGTTAAAACAACTTAAGTTACTTAGTTGGCCAAACTCAACAATTTAAGCCTTAAATTGTTGTCCAACCTAAAATTTTAGGCAGCCAGGTTACATATTATTTTAAGTTGAACGTGCCAATTTTCAGTACATAACTAATTACTTATTATTTAAAAAAAAAAAACTCTTTTTTTTTGCATGATCTGACTTTGAAATTCGGAAATGACACTGTTAGTAGGCGATCATATGCTGTCTGAAAATGGATGTAAAACTTCCTGTCCGAAGGTTGTAAATGATGATGTAAATTATAATTTTTTTATTCTCTGTCTGTCTGTCTGTCTGTCTGTCTGTCTGTCTGTGTGTGTCAGATGAGCTTATTTATTGAACTATTTTAATCAGATCTGGTGTCCAAAGAAAGGAATTCCTGTCAAGCTGCTGTACAGGTAGTCTATCTATAAAGCAAGAAATCTCTGTCTGTCTGTGTGTGTGTGTGTGTGTGTGTGTGTGTGTGTGTGTGTGTGTGTGTGTGTGGCTCAAATATCTCTGCAGATCAGGATCAGACTGACCTGAGAGTTTCCACATGGCTGCTGTGTGGTTTAAGGGTGTGCAACGTCGGCTTTGTTTGGACTACAAATATACCGTTAATAAATTATTTCATAAATTATTTCCGAATTCCGCTAGCATTGCCAACGATAGCCACCATAGCCACTTGCGCACAAGAGCCAATCACTGCAGAGCCCGTGTTGAAGGTGTTACCCAGTTGTCTCCCCCTGTCAATCTAAACCCGCGGACACTTTCTAATCATATGGATGCTGTTATAATGTGTAGTGATTGAGATCCTGACCCACCAAACATCCTGGAAAGTGACAAAGTTACGTATTTCACTCTAAGTTACGTTTTTCACTCTAAATTACACAATTATTACATAATAATCACCAGCAGTAAACTGACTCCCTCACTCGCAAGACGGAGAATGTTTTAACACTCCGTGAGTTTTTTCGCCGGTGACGGACGCTGTTTTTCGGGCAGAAATGTAACGGAAGAGTTGGTAGGACAGGCGGGAGGACAGACAGGAGGACAGACGCTTCTCCACGTACAGCTGTGGTATTTTTCTTTCCTCATATAAGTTTCCAAAGACAGTTACAGTTACTACATTACTGATGTTTGGTCCTGTAACGTTGCTTTGTGAGACCTGTGCAGTTATCAGACTGTCTGACCAACACGTCCTCGCTCCGCGCCACCGGCTTATCCGTTCACACTGTAGGCGGTTCAAAAATAATGCGTCCCTGATACTACCTCCAGAGGAGGATCAGGGACGGAGTAACATTTCCCCCCTCGCCGCATCTGAGTCTTTCACACAGAGGAGGGTGCGGAGAATTGGCGCTGGATCCCCACATCTCTCTCTCTCTCTCTCTGATGTATGCTGGCCTATATTACAGGACTAAATAATATGTCCTAAATGTCCCTGACGTCCCACCTTCAAACACAACCTCATTTGGCCATCCATGAAAAAGCTACTTAACCTCCCACTTTTCTATAGCAATACATACTTCCTACGGGCAGTGCACTAGTAAAGTCAAATGGACCTCTGGACCATAATTGTCTACTTGTTTATCGTACAAAAAATATTATTGTCCAAGCATGGAATTTTCTTCTTATCCACATCAGGATTTGATACACATTGCATACTGAAATTACACTTTATGAATATTTTTCATGCCAAAACAAACAAAAAAAATATTTACTTCTCTTCACCCCTCTGAACACAGTGTGGGTGGAAAGCCAGTAAGAGACCACATCCTTCTTTCTACAGTAACAACCTCTAAATAGTTGGGTGCTGCATGGAGCAGGATGGGACATTGGGGAATGGCATGAACCACCAGAAGTTTTACACCCTCTTCCCGCTTCTGTTGAAATTTTATTCAAAATCATTTGTAACAACACAAATTACTAGAAATCCAGCATTGGTACATAACAATACTCAACAATATGTGTGGCATATAACCATATACATTTAGTTTTATCAAGAAGGCATTTGTTAATTCTGTTTTAGAAGCCATTACCAAGCATCATATTTCCCCAAACCTGTTTCATTAACGGAGCCCTTTTATGTCTTTGAGTAAACTGACGCCTCCTTACCCCCTCTTACACTAGTAACTCCTCCTGTCCGGAATAGTGGCAGCCGCTATTACAGCTAGCATGCCTACGGTCAATGAACAGCCCACTGGTAAGTGACTATGTGCTACAAATGGTAAATGGTAAATGGACTTGTACTTGTATAGCGCCTTTCTAGTCTTCTGACCAGTCAAAGCGCTTTTACACTACGTGCCACATTCACCCTTTCACACACATTCACTCAGTGATGGCAAAGTCTATTGAACAGAAACTAACATGCATACACACTCACACACCGATGCATGGCATCGGGAGCAATTTGGGGTTCAGTATCTTGCTCAAGGATACTTCGACGTGTGGCACCAAGAGCCGGGGATCGAACCCACAACCTTCGGATTAAGGAACGACCCGCTCTGCCTCTGAGCCGCAGCGTACGTTCTGCGCGTGCGTAATACGTCCCCATAACAGCAGGCGGCGCTAATCTGTGTTGTTGCCCAAAAAAAATTAAAACCGGAAATGATGGATCACTCTAGACCTAGTAAACACAGAGCACGCTGTCGTCAGTCTTTGTTTTCATCAGAGAGTGTTGATAGTAGTCAAGAAGGATCATTATTTTCATTACTCGCTGAACAAAAATACGATGGCTAATAATAACAAGATACTGGCGTTGGCGTAGTATGTTTACCATCGTCACTTCCGGTTTTCTCGTGCACTCACTGATTCGCTAGTCAAGGGCTAGCACTCCACCAATCAGATTGGTCATTGAGGCCGACGGCCACTGGCCGAGTCTACATGCCGAATCGGCCAAAATGAACGCTGACACCGACGCCGACTGATGACGGCACAGGACACACCGAACCGACTCGAGTCACGACAATCGGGTTGGTGTGTCCGGGCCTTTAGGTGCAGAGTGACATTACATTACAGTGGGAGTGACTGATTGTGGGAGAGGGTGGTGTGGGCTGTACTGTTTAAGAGTCTGATGGCCTGGGGGTAGAAATGTTAGTCTTTTTGTCCTCGCTTTCACACTCCTGTAGCGCCTGCCTCATGAGAGAAATGTGAAGTTATTCTCTGCTGGGCTTTCTTCAGGAGCTGGTGGGTGTTGTGAGACCAGGTGAGATCCTGTGTAGTCTAAACCAGGCGTAACAGAAACAATTCTGTGGCTCAGAGGCATAGCGGGTTGTTCCTTCATCGGAAGGTTGTGGGTTCGATCCCCGGCTCCTGGTGCCACATGTCGTGCATTGAGTGTGTATGAATGTTAGTTTCTGTTCAATGGACTTTGCCGTCACTGAGTGAATGTGTTTTACACGTAGTGTAAAAGCGCTTTGAGTGGTCGGAAGACTAGAAAGGCGCTAGACATTTACCATTAACAGCAACTCATAAAGACTGCTCCTTTACTAAGGCTACCTGTGATGGATTCCTCAACTGCTGTTTTCTGACTTATAATAGGTCGTAAAGTCTGCACCCTCCATGTAAGAAGATGGTTAACGTGGTCCCAAAGATAGATAGATAGATAGATAGATAGATAGATTCATAGTATCATAGTCAATCATAGTATTACCAAAAGTATAGATTATAATGAATTTATTGTAAATATTTTTTTCCGTTATTGTTATTATTTTTATTTTTAATTCTAAACGCTTGTTTTGGCAATATGTACAGTGTTACGCCATGCCAATAAAGTCATTTGTATTGAATTGAATTGAATGTCCAGGAAAATGGTGTAAATGGAGGAGGAAATTGTCAATTGTCTATTGTCTGATGGCCAGGGGGATGAAAGAGTTTTAAAGTCTATTGGGGGAGCTAGATTGGGACAGCAGTCTGCCACTGAACACACTCCTCTGCCTGGTGAAGGTGTTGTGTAGAGGGTGGTGGGCGTTGTCCAATATGGACAGCAGTTTGTCCAGGGTCCTTCTTTCTGCCACTGTTACCAGAGAGTCCAGCTCTGTGCCCACCACTGAGCCAGCTCTCCTCACCAATCTGTCCAGTCGAGCATCTCTCTTCTTGCTGCTTCCTCCCCAGCAAACCACAGCATAGAAAAGGACGCTGGCCACCACAGACTGGTAAAACATCTGCAGCAGTTTTTTTACAGATGCTGAAGGACCCCAGCCTTCTCAGGAAGTAGAGACGGCTCTGCCCTTTCCTGTGAAGTGTCCATGTTGGCTGTCCAGTCCAGCCTGTCATCCAGCTGCAGCCCCAGATATTTATAAGTCCTCCACATCGACCCCCTCGATGGACACAGGTTGGAGATGTGGTTTCTTCCTTCTGAAGTCCACCACCATCTCCTTGGTCTTGGAGGTGTTCAGCTGCAGACGGTTGGACCTGCACCACCTCACAAAGTCCTCGACCAGTCTCCTGTACTCCCCCTCCCATCCATCCTTGATACAGCCAACTATCGCAGTATCATCCAAGTATTTCTACATGTGGCAGAGCCCAGAGTTATACTGGAAGTCAGATGTGTACAAGGTGAAGAGGACGAGAGAGATGTTTTTTTGGCATTTTATTTAGTTTTTATCGCACTGATGTATGTTCAAGTAATTATCTTTCTGATCAGGTTGGTTTTTATTATTTATTATTTTAAGCTATTAAAATGGGGCTTCACGTAGTCATTGACCACTGAGCCCTTTTTGTGTCTGACTTGGCTGGCTGAATGGGCAGGATCTCAATACCGAGGTGGCCAAATCTGAGATATTATGCCTCAGTATTTGTACAGTGGGAGGAAAATGGTGATATGATGTCCAACGATGTGTGAAATTGTCAAATCTATAAACTGTGTAAGTGACCAAGTAGAGTTTTTGTGACCTCAAGTTTGAGGAGACAAAAAGTTAGCTTCTTAATATTGCTTTCATTCAATTCAACTTTCAGTTAAATTTTAATTGTATAATGGCAATTCATATCAAACGTTATCTCAGGACACTTTAGATAATAGAGTAGGTCCAACATTTGCTACCATGAGCAAGCATTGGCGACGGCGGCAAGGAAAAACTTCGGACAGACCCTGGACAGATTGCTCTAGGTGGGTGAGGGGGTGGGTGGTAAAGAGAGAAGGACAGAGACAGAGACAAAGGTGCACTGCCTCTAGTGTGGTTAGCAGATATGTACATTTTGTAGCTTAGCATAAAAACTGGGAAGAGTGGTAAACAAGTTAAAAAACACACCTACCAACGTCTAAAACTCACCAATTTTGTATAATTCCTACTAAACCCTAA